TGTTGTCATCTGACCAAAAAGAAAATGAATTTCCGACAAATTTATAGTGACGTGCATGATGTTTCATCGGCAATAATTTTTTTGCAAAACCAAAATATTATCCTTAAGACTAGGACTTGTGACAGTGGACACGAAATGGTTTTGGATACACAAAGGGATCGGTGGCGATGTCATTTAAGATCATGTCGAGCAGAAAATGGTCTCAAGACCAATAATTGGATACAAAGTGCCAAGGTAAAGTTGCCAACTATTGTTCACTTCATTTATGGTTGGGCTCATGAACTGACATCAGTGGACTTTTGAAAACGTGAATTTGAAATGAGCAAATCTTCTGTAGTAGATTGGAATAATTTTATGAGGGAAGTTTGTGTATGGAAAATTTCTCAAGGTGATTCCAAAATAGGAGGTGTTGGTTGTATTGTCGAGATCGACGAAAGTTTATTTGTTAGACGCAAAAATAATGCTGGTCGAATACTGCCACAGCAATGGGTATTTGGTGGCATATGTCGTGAGACCAATGAGTGTTTAGTCGCATGTATACCCGATCGGTCGGAAAATACATTATTGCCAATAATTTGCGAACGTATACGAGTTGGATCGACCATTATATCTGATTCCTGGCGAGCCTATAATAATATACAACAAACCGGCCATTATATACATTCAACAGTAAACCACAAATATAATTTTGTGGATCCTATAAGTGGAGCTCATACACAGAATATTGAGAGGATGTGGGGAAGTGCTAAATGGGGCAACAAGAAACTTAGAGGGACTAAGAGAAACTTCCTAGATTCTTATTTGTCAGAATTTATGTGGCGGAGTAAATTAAACGGTCGGGATCCATTTAAAGAAATTTTGAAGGATATAGCAGAATTTTGGCCACCAGCATAATTTTTATTATTATTTTTTATTTTTATTTATTATTACCATATTTTTTATATATTTTTATTTTGATTGCTTGAATTGTTATGTATAATCATAAATGTATAATTTTTGTCATAATTTTTTTTATAATCATAAATGTATAATTTTTAATAAATGTATCGTACATTTTTATATAAATTATTAGTAATCGAAAATACAAAATGTAAGTGGCGGGCGTCAACTAAACTTGAGTGGCGGGGGTCAACTAGACCAGTACCCCCAAACAGGTTTTTAAAGGAAATTGTTTGCGTACATACTTTGATGAGATGTCTTCCAAACTATTCTTTCTAAACTTACGATAATCCTTATAAACCTAACATTTAAAGGGCTACCAAATGATCTGTTCCTAGCTTAAAAAACGTGGGCCCTTACTTATTTAGTGCATAAACACTGTATTTTAATTGTATGTCTTAAGGTAAATTTATAATGGGCTTATTGTAAATTACGAAGTACATTAGTATTTTTGTTTTAGATATTGTGTTGCAGCCGACACCAGCAATTACTTACCGAACAATTGGTGGTGTATTAGATTTTTATTATTTCATGGGACCAACACCTTCTGATGTTATTTCTCAATATACAGATACAATTGGAAGATCATTTTTACCATCTTATTGGACATTAGGATTTCATTTATGTCGGCAAGTGTTTTTTAGTGACATATCAAATTTTCAATTAGTAATTAATTTTTAGTATTTAACTTTTTAATGAAAATAATTTTTAGATTTGGACAAACGTTAAAAGAACTTATAAATGTTCATAATAGAACTGTTAATGCAGGAATTCCTTGGGTAAATTATTTATTCACACATTGTAAATTACTTAAATTACTAATAAACCATATTTAATATTTTTCTTATTATTATTATTATTCTCACATAAAGCTATAATTTTTTTTATTTTTAGGATACACATTGGAATGACATTGATTATATGAAAAATAGAAATGATTTCACTTTAAGTGATAATTTTACTGATCTTCCTAAATATGTTAATTATTTGCATGAGGTATTATTGAATTTATTATTTGTTAAATGTAGTAGTTGTATACATTCATTTTATCTTTGAAGGGTGGAATGCATCATGTAATTATACTGGACCCTGGAGTATCTTCTCGTGAACCAAAAGGATCATATCCACCTTATGATGATGGTTTAAAAAATGGAATTTTCATTAAAAATTCTTCTGGTCTCCCACTTGAAGGCCAAGTATGTTTTTCCTATTTAAATATTTTTTATGTTTATAATTTACATAAATACTTTTTAGGTATGGAACCTTGATGGAGGTACTGTATTCCCAGATTTCACCAATCCAAAGTCAATTGATTATTGGATAAATCAAATATCCAACTATCATAATATTCTTCCGTTTGATGGTTTATGGATTGTTAGTTCTACATTTAGTATTTTAAACTATTCAAATTGTGTCTTTAGTCCTTCCTTTCTATACAATTTTAGGACATGAATGAACCATCAAATTTTGTCAACGGTGATTGGGAAGGTTGCATATTTACTAATTCTAGTAGTTGGGAAAATCCACAGTATACACCTAGTGTTGCTGGTGGAAAATTAAATTATAAAACTATTTGCATGTCAGCAAATCAGCACGCTGGACTTCATTATAATTTACATAATCTTTATGGATTTTCAGAAGCAATAACAACACAATTGTAAGATTTACAATCGGTTACATTAGTAAATAGAAACTTTTTATTTCATAGTAACCTGAAAAAAATATTTTAAACTTTAGTGCATTGTCAGTTATCAAAAATGCAAGACCGCTAGTTATTTCAAGATCAAGTTTTGCTGGCTTGGGGCACTTTGCTGGTCATTGGACTGGAGATGTATTTTCAACTTGGGATGATATGAAACAATCTATTACTGGTAATCATTTAAAGTTTATGTTTTTTGTTATCATGCAGAATGTGTTCTACTGGGACTCAGGCAGTTGGAGTACCAGGATTGAGGTCTACCTCATTGCCAATATTTATCAATCTCTAATGTATTACCTGTGAGTCTGTGCTATCAAAAGTTAAATTTAATTATTTATACATTTGGACTAATATTTTTCAAGTATAGTGATGAGCATTAATATAAAAATACTATTTTTTATGTACACAAAATAAATAGACATGCACTGGAATACCAGGTAAACGGTATTACCAAGATAACAAAACTGATTTTGCACCATTTAAGACTTATAACTAGGCACTATCAATTTTTTAATTTTGTATTGTACTGACTAAATGTTCTCCCAATGATACTAGGTTCATCTGTACTGAGGTACCACCAGACCTAATTAAATAATTCAAATATAATATTATAAGTAAATAGTTGTAATATTATTGGTATAGTGCATGGTGGTTGCATTCATGATTTAATTGGGAGAAATACACATACTGCATTATAGACTTAAGTCTTGATTTGTATTAATTATTGCTGTATTACATTACATTTTATTTTAGATATTGTGCTTTTCAACATGTTTGGTGTACCACTGGTTGGAGCTGATATATGTGGTTTTAATGGTAATACTACTGTTGAACTTTGTTCACGCTGGAGTCAATTAGGTGCATTTTATCCATTCTCAAGAAACCATAACTCTGATGAAAGTTTTGTATGTATTGATTTTAATAGTTGCCCGTTTATTTGAGGAAATAATTGAATTACATTTATTATACAAAAGGATCAAGATCCTGTGGCTTTGGGACCATTGGTTATAGAATCAGCTAAAAAAGCACTATTAATTCGATATTCATTGCTTCCGTATTTGTATTCTCTATTTTGGAGAGCACATATTTATGGTGAAACAGTTGCACGACCACTGTTTTTTGAGTAAGTATATTTAGTTTTATATACTTCTTAATTTGATGATCTTGAAAGATAATGTTATGTATAATGAAATTATTTAGATATCCACATGATAGCTGTACTTACAACATTGATACACAATTCCTATGGGGTTCTGCTCTACTAATTTCACCAGTTTTAAAGGAGGTTTGTTTATTATAATTTTACTTACAATAATTTATTTAATATACACATGTCTACTTGATTTTAGAACCAAGTGGATGTAGACATCTATTTACCAAATGATGTATGGTATGATTATTATTCTAAAAAGTCTACCCAAAGTCTTGGATCCATTTTCACTGTTGAAGCCCCTAATGATACTATTCCACTTAAAATACGTGGTGGCTATATTTTACCAGTTCAAGATCCAGCTACTACCACTACATCTAGGTATTCTTTCCTTAATACATTTTATCCTTATGTACTTGAAATGTAAGGTTGGAAATATAACTTATAATGTGTTACTATAGTCCTTAATTTGTTTATTAATCTAATTTTTACTATGCATCAATATTATTTAAATTAAATTATAGCCGTAAAAATTCATTTGGACTATTAGTTGCACCAAACAAATTTAAAGAAGCATTTGGCTACTTATTTTGGGACGACGGTGACTCTTTAAGTAAATAATCATATAATTATTTTTTCCTGCTGTATTTTATAGTAAACCTTTTTTTAAGATGTATGGGAAAATGGGTTATATAATGAAATCCATTTCAAACTAAACAACACAATGTTGTTAAATGAGGTTATCACAAATAATTATTCAGATGAAAAGACTATTTTACAAAATATTACTGTTTTTGGTATCAAAAATGAACCAAAAAATATTCAAGTGAATGGCGTCACATACAGTAATTTTTATCACAATACGACTGAAGAAGTGAGTACTAAATATTAAATTGTGTTACAATAAATTAATTTTGTCTTTTACAACTATTTATTACTATTATTTGTTATCAGCTTTCAATTAAAATAATTTTGGTAAATATTGGAAAGTTGAATGTAATTATATACATATATATTTTATTATTTTACAGGTCCTTTACTTCCTATTATTAAACTTGGACTTGAATATTGTTTTCAATATCACATGGACTTAAACATTTATTGAAACATATTTTATACAATTGTATATTTTTTTTTAGGTAAATGTATTTTATGTACTAAATTAAATAATGATGAGGAAATCTTATATTATATACTTTTGAAATGAATCTTTTATTAATAAACTGTTATCCTTGATATCACTTTGATTTAATATTCATATTTGTATTTTTAATTTTAATGAGCTATTAATGATACCCTTTGTACATTGATTTTATCCAATCAAATAGGTACATACTTTGTTTTTCTATTAATTTATACTAACTTTATCGTTGTGCTTATTACTATATTAATTATAAATAAAAATAAAATGTTAAAATGTTGATAAATAGTGTAACTGAGCTTTAGTGTTTTGTGGTTCATTCAACTACTTTATTTCATAAATGTTTATAACTTGAGTCTATTTATTTCTTCTTTTTTAATTTGTAACTTTATTAATAATTAGTGCAGTTCTATTGTTTAATATGCAATTACAATATGACTATATTATCAAGATCTTCATATTACTATTTATGCAGTTTTTTTTCTTCTTACAAATATATTACTGTCACTCAATACCAAATGAACTAAAGTTTGATTGTATACCCAAAGGAAAGTCTGATGAAATAACCTGCAAACAAATGAACTGTTCCTGGACACCGGCAAATCAATCTTTTACTCAATGGCCGTGGTGTTACTATCCAGAATGTTACAATAGTTATAATACAATTAATATTTCAAAGACAAGTACTGGAATAGTAGCATTTTATAATTTATCAATAGCTTCTAATTACAAAAAAAATATACAAATCTTGCGTCTGGATGTTACTTTTGAAACTACACAAAGACTACGAATTACGGTACCTATAAATCTTTATTATAGTGAGTAAAAAAATTAATTAAAATAAAACTGAAATGTAGTTGCTCATTTAAGAAAATATGCCGGGTTCCATGAACAATCACCAAACATTAAACGAATCAATAGTGAACTAATGATCCCTTAAACATGGTTTAGCAGCCCACAATTGGGCTGTTAAATTAATAATTTATTTCATGCAACCCTGAACCCGGTAGTAATGTAGTGAATTTGAAAATTCGATTAATAAAGGTTTTTGATTTATCGAGTATTTGAATTAAAATTACAGAGGTGAAAAATTGTATTACACAAATACACTGTATTTATTCTTAATTGTATTATATGTACATTTATTAATTTATTTTGACATTTATTTATTAGGTAGGTAAATTATTGTGTGTTATCAAAGATATTTGTTGTTTTTTTTTGCGATAACTTGTTGGCCACATTCTGGTTCAAGTTCATTGATATTATCAATACACCTTGCATAATATGAAATAAACTACGATAATATTTTATCTTGGTCGTTATTTGTTTGATTACGAGTACGTCAATTAGGTACGAGCTTATACATACTACATAATAAAGAAATTTGAATTACCTATAGGTATAGGTGTTGGCAAAAAAATTCGAATTGTAAAGTGACATTAACGATAGACATTTTGAATTATCGAGTGAGGACTGTATTAATTATTATCTGAAGGGTATATAGATTAAATTAAGTATTTAAGTTTATCATTTCTAGATGCTGTTAGTTATGACTTATCGGTGCAACTCGTTTGCGCACAATCTACATTTTTTACCTAGATATCGATGACTCGTTTGCGCACAACGAAATCAGTCGTTTACCTGTAACGGACGACTCGTTTGCGCACAACATAAACACTGAGTAACATATATTTTATATTTTTAAATTTGGACTTACCTAAAGTAATTGAATTATCGGTAAAAATTATCAGTACAAATTACCAGCATATCAATAATCAATATATATCGATTTAAAATAATCGTCGTGTATTAGGAAAGCATAATACTTTTAAACAGTCGTTCGCCAGAAAGCTGTACTATAACAACTGACTATATTGACTATGGATATCGAAATTTGTGATGTTTTTGAAACGCGTCGAGGAAAAAAATGTTTAAACATAGAAAATTATAAATTTAGAGAATTCCGAACTTTAAAATCTGGTGATAAAAATTTTAGGTGTACAAATAAAAATTGTTCCGTAAGTGCTGTAGTTAGGTTAGTTAATGAATCATATAAAATTTTAAAAATTACAAACACGCATACCCATGACGAGTACGACGACCGAACAATTCATCGAGAAGTAGTAAGAAGCAATTTGAAACGTAGAGCCGAAGAGGATTTACATATTAAACCAAATAAACTAATACGCCGGGAATTGAAAAACAACGAAAAATCTGAACATCTTCAATATAGCGATATGAAATTAATTCGAAGATCCATGTATGAAAAACGAAAAAAATCCTTTCCAAACATACCGAGATCTTTAGAAGATGCTAAAAAACAATTAGTTGATGATCAGCATAATATTACTTACAAAGGTAATAAATTTTGTTTCGTTAGTGATGATGAAAATATATTTATATTTACATGTAAACAAAATTTGGAATTGCTACAAAGTGCAGAACACGTTTTTGGGGATGGGACATTTTCATTCGCTCCGAAATATTTTGTTCAACTTTATACTATTCACGTATTTACAAACAATTTTTATGTTCCTGTGGCATTTTGTTTTTTAAGTAACAAACATACTGATACTTACATCAGTATGTGGAAAACATTACAAAATATATGTATTCAAATTACTGGTAATATAATAAATTTAAGCAATTTTCATGTCGACTTTGAAAAATCTGCGCATAATGCAGTATTGCAAATTTTCCCTAAATGCAAAATCATGTGTTGTAACTTTCATTTAGGGCAAAATTGGTTTAGGCATATTCAACAACATAAATTATTATCGAGCGAGTACTTAAACAACGACTCAGAAGTTGGAAAATGGATGAAATGTTTTTTTGGATTAAGTTATTTACCCCCTGACGAAGTTTCCGATGGATTTTGTGATCTTATGTCAATAGCACCAAGTACTACGTCTAATATTTCTATATTTTCCGATTATATTTTAGAAAATTACATAACATCGGACAGCAATTTCCCTCCAACATTATGGGCTTGTGAACCTACTAATAATCCTAAGACTACTAATGGTGCCGAGAGTTATCACAAACAATATAATAGTCAGTTTTACACTGCTCATCCGCACATACATCAAGTAATCGACGTCATTATTGGAATTCAAAGTGACACTGATTTAAAAATTAATTCGATAAACAATAAAATCATAAATTTCAAAAGAAAAGAGACAATTAATAAGGAGATACAATTGGAAAACATTTGGAATGAATATAAAAATAATATTATTAATCGTTTAACTTATATGAAGAAAATCGGACTTAAATGTCACCATTCTAAATTAGTATAATTTTATAACTAATAGACTACTATTATTACTTATTAAACCTACAATGCATGTTTTTTAATATATTTTAATTTTTGTAATATTAAAATCATTATTTAAACCTAAAATATGTGTGCGCAAACGAGTTGTGATTTTGTGCGCAAACGTGTTGTAAAAAAGGTAAATGTGCGCAAACGAGTCGCACCC